GCTGCCAATATTGGCTACGCGCCGTCGGTCAAGGGCCGGTTCACAATCTCCAGGGACAACGGGCAGAGCTTGGTGACGCTGACCATGAACAACCTCAAGGACGAGGATTCCGGATCCTATTTCTGTGCCAAAGCAGCTGCTGGTGGTGGTGGTGGTTATGGAGCTGGTGCTATTGATGTGCCGTGCATGGCCAGATCCCCATCCAGCACTGCAGGAGCATCCGGGAGCAGGACAGTCGGGACAGACGGACGGACACGAGAGATCTCTGCAGCCAGGTTGTGGCATTTGGGGTTTATTGCAAAGGACGAACTGCAGGGCCCTGCTGGGAGCTGCCAGGCATGGCTGGAGCAGGGCTGAGAGAAGTGAGGGGAGAGAGGATGAGAGGGTCAGAGAGTAAGAGAGTAAAAAAGGTAAATGAATAAAAGGGTGAGAGAATAAAAAGGCTAAGAGAGCGAAAGAGTCAGTGAATAAAATGGTAAGAGTGTAAAAGGGTAAGAACATAAAACTGTAAGAGAATAAAAGGGTAAGAGAGTGAGGTTCCCACCACAACACAATAAATCTTCTTTTCTGTGAAATATTCTAATTCTCACTAACCAATCTGGTCCAATATACAAACCCTACAGCATTTACACACAGCCTATAAGAATCGTTTCATTACCATACTCTATTACATTTTAAACCCTAAAAATTGGTCTTTGGGACCCTTCTGCCAAGCCTAAAACCTGCTCTTTGGAAACCCTACAAACTACTCTTTGGAGTAATTTTAAATCCTAAAAACGCCTCTTTGGAGTAACTTTAAACCCTAAAAACTACACTTTGTAGTATATTTAAACCCTAAAAACTCCTCTTTGGTCCCTTCTGCCACGCTGCTGGGTCTGCTCTGACCCTTGGAGCTGTCTGCAGGCAGAGGGTGTTGTTCCATCAAAAAGGGATCACCTTCAGCCGGCCACGCCGTTGTTTTCCAGTTGTTCAGTCACTGAGGGATCTCAAAGCTTGCTTTCCTTTCAATCTCGCTGATGGTTTCCATATTCTCAAAATCTTTTGCCAGGCAATCACATTGATAAGGCTTTGCTGTTCCATTTTCCCCAACCAGCATCAGCATAAGCACCGTGACCATCGGTGTCCTTGGCACAGAAATAGGATCCGGAATCCTCATCCTTGAGGTTGTTCATGGTCAGTGTCACCGAGCTCTGCCCGTTGTCCTGGGAGATCCTGAGCCGACCCTGCACTGATGGTGCGTAGTCGGTGCTGCCACTGCTGTGGATACTCGTGAGCCACTCCAGCCCCTGCCCGGATCTCTGCCGATACCAGCCCATCTCAAAATTCCAAAAACTGAACCCGGACTCTCGGCAGAGGAGGGGCAGGGACCCCCCGGGAGGCTGGAGGTGCTCCCCGCACTCCAGCAGGGTCACGGCCGCTCCCCCATCCCCAAACCTTCATTGGTTTTGCCCCAGAATCCTTTTTTCTTGCCTCAAATGTCCAGCAGAGGTTTCCTGTATTGAAAAGTTCCTTAAACCCTGCAATTAGCCCCAATCCACCCATTAATTAATTGGACAGCTCTGCCTGATGTTTGCGTCGCCTCATCCCCATCTCCCCTCCGTCCCGCAGGGCTCTGGGCGGCCGTGACCCTGCTGGAGTGCGGGGGGGACCTCCAGCCCCCCGGGGGGTCCCTGCGCCTCCTCTGCAGAGGGTCCGGGTTCAGTTTTGGGAGTTTTTCCATGCAATGGGCCCGACAGAGACCCGGGCAGGGGCTGTAGTGGCCCGCGGTGATCAGCAGCCCTGCAGGTTCCAGGACCGCCTACATGCCGTTGGTCAAGGGCTGGTTCACGATCTCCAGGGTCAACGGGCAGAGCTCGGTGACGCTGACCATGAACAACCTCAAGGACGAGGATTCCGGATCCTATTTCTGTGCCAGGGCTTTTTGTGCTGGTTGTTGGGCTGTTGCTAATCATGGTGACAATGCTGTTGATAGCGTGAAACTTCTCGTTTTTGCTCCTTTCCTATCATTGGATCTCTAAATTTTCTATTTTCATCCCAAACCTGACCTGTTGTCTCAGATGTTGACACTTTGTCCCCATTTGCATCAATGGTCAGCACTGAAACCAAACTCTCGCCTGTTTCTGCCCCAAGACTCAACCATTGCCTCCAAACCTTCACCCTGACCCTTTGTCCAAGCCGCGCCCCCGTTGCACCAACGCTGCCCAATTGGCGCAAAACCCTGCCCTGGGTCTGGCCCCAAACTCAAGTCTTGGCCCAAAATCTCATCCTCGACCCCCGAAAGATCCCAAAGGGTCGAGATTTGGGGTGAAATTGGGCAAATTTTTGCACCAACAGAGTTGGGTTTGGGGCAGAACCAGTCAGGGTTTGGGGTCTTTGTTCACCATGAGTGGAAATGGGGGAGACATTGGACAAACGGTCAAGAGCGGAGATTTGGGAGAAGGACCTGGGGGTTGAGGACAGGAGGGGACACTGAGATGGGGGTGGATCCACCTCAGGCCTCTTCATAATTAGCACCAGGATTGCAATTATCACCAGCAGATTTGGCGCAGAAACAGAATCCGGAATCATCGTCCTTGAGGTTGTTCATGGTCAGCCTCACCGAGCTCTGCCCGTTGTCCCTGGAGATCATGAACCGGCCCTGCACCGATGGCGTGTACCCGGTTCAACCACCATTGTAGCTGATACTCGCGAGCCAATCCAGCCCCTGTCCAGGTCTCTGCCGCACCCAGAGCATGTCGTAGCTCCCAAAACTAAACCCGGACCCTCAGCACAGGACACGCAGAGACCCCCCGGGGGGCTGGAGGTCCCACCCGCAATCCAACAGGGTCACGGCAGCTCAGAGCCCTGGGGGACAAAGGGGAGATGGGGATCAGGAACCTGTTTGGCCGAGGGCCGGAAACTAGGCAAGGCCAGCTAGAAAAAGCGGCAGGACCCACCTGGGAGGAGGATGATGAACTCCATGGGTCCCAGTTTGGGGCCCAGAGTCAGGATTTGGGTCAATGGTTGAGCTTTGGCCTCATCCCCATCTCCCCTTTGTCCCGCAGGGCTCTGGGCGGCCGTGACCCTTCTGGAGTGCGGGGGGGAACTCCAGCCTCCCAGGGGGGTCCCTGACGTTTCTGTGCCGCGCATCTGGGTTTGATTTCGGGAATTTTGGAATGATCTGGATCCGTCAGAGATCCAGGCGGACACTGGAATACAGCAGGTGGCGGCACCTTCTACGCACAATCTGTCAAGGGCCGGTCCAGGATCTCCAGGGACAACAGGCAGAGCTCGGTGACGCTGACCATGAACAACCTCAAGGCCGAGGATTCCGCCGTTTATTTCTGCACAAAACGTGCCAGTAGTAGTTACGGTTCTGAGAGTGCTGCTGCTATTGGGAGCAATGCCGTCAGTGTTCCCACCACCATGATGGTCACCAACTGTCTCCACAGTGACCCTTCCCCCAATCCCCAGCCCCTGACCCCATTCCTGTCCTCGGGCCCCAACCCTCCCCTGGCCCTGCCCCACATTCTCAGCTCCTGGCCCCACACATTAGCTCGGGGCCCACTCAGGGCCATTTTTGCTCTTGGACTGGCCCCGGCCCTTCTGCCAGGATCCCTGGGCTGAATTCGCCCAGCTCTGCCCAAATCTGCGCTGCTGGCCCTGAGCAGCCACCACTGACACAAATCCCAAATTCTGACCAAAATCGGGACCCTGGGCCTAAAACCCTGACCTGCAGAGCAAAGTTTTAGGGCACAAAGAGGAGATTTGGGGTCAGGAGTTGAGGTTTGGGGTCAGCGGGTGAGAATTGGGGCCGAGGCAGAGCAAGGTTGGGATCAATGGTCAAGGGCTGGGTGTGGGCTGGGGGTTTGGGGGAAGGGTCTGGGCAACCGGGACGGGTGGGGGATAAGGGGATGTGGGTGGGAAAACCTTGGGCATCCTCACTACGAGCAGCATGTTCAGGGTAATTATTAGCAGCACACTTGGAGCAGAAATAAACGGCAGAATCCTCATCCTTGACGTTGTTCATGGTCAGCGTCACCGAGTTCTGCCCGGTGTCCCTGGAGATCCTGAACCGGCCCCTGACCGATGGCGCATAGTAAGTGTTGGCACTATTGTACTAGATGCCTGCCACGTATTCCAGCCCCTGCCTGGGTCTCTGGCGGACCCAGTGCATTCCATAATCCCCGAAACTGAAACCGGACCCTCGGCAGAGGAGACGCAGGGACCCCCCTGGGGCTGCAGGTGCCCCCCACACTCCAGCAGGGTCACGGCCGCCCAGAGCCCTGCGGGACAAAGGGGAGAAGGGGATGAGGAACCTGATTGGTGAAGAGTGCCCAAGTTGGCATGGCACGCTTGAAAAAGTGGTGGGACGCACGTGAGAGGAGGATGATGAACTCCAAGGGTCAGAATCTGGGGCCAAGAGTAAGGATTTGTTTCAAGGGTTGAGCTTTGTCCTCATCCCCATCTCCCCTTTGTCCCTCAGGGCTCCGGGCGGCCGTGACCCTCCTGGAGTGCGGGGGGGACCTCCAGCCCCCTGGGGCGTCCCTGCGCCTCCTCTGCCGAGGGTCTGGGTTCAATTTTGGCAGTTTTGGGATGGGCTGGCATCGCCAGAGACCCAGACAGGGGCTGGAAGCAGTCGCCAGTATCAGGTGGCAGCGCCTACTACGCGCCATCGGTCAAGGGCCGGGTCACGATCTCCAGGGACAACGGGCAATCTTCGGTGACGCTGACCATGAACAACCTCAAGGACGATGATTCTTCCACCTATTTCTGTGCCAAATCTTACAATACAGGAAGCTCTTATGCTGCTCCTTATATTGGCCATTCCGGTGGTGGCACCACCCCATCAGAGCCCCTCTTGTCCCCAGACCTAGACCCTTCCCCCAAACCTCAGCCCTTGACCCTTTGTCCCAAATCTCCCCCATTTGCACCAATGGTCAGCTCTGACCCCAAACCCTGCCCTGCTCCTGCCCCAAAAATCAACCATTGGCACCAAACATTCAAACACGTCCCCCAGTTCAGGCCTTGCTCTCCAAGAGTTCCCATTTCTGACTGTGCTCGATCAGCCAATCAGAGTTCAGGGAGCTGGGGGAGATTTGAGTGAAATGGGCAAAATTGGGGAAACTCCAGGGCTGCGGCAACAGGGGCAGAGATTGGGGGAATATAGCCAAGATTTGAGGAGAAGGGCTGGGATTTTGGGGAAGAATCTGTGGCGATTGGAGACATCTGGTGACCATCAAGGGCATCGGATCGCTGAGAGCATCATCAATAAAAACATAATCAGCACCCCAATATTTATGACGTCTGGCACAGAAATAGGATCCGGAATCCTCGTCCTTGAGGTTGTTCATGGTCAGCGTCACCGAGCTCTGCCCGTTGTCCCTGGAGATCCTGAACCGACCCTGCACCGACGGACTGTAGATGGTGTAGCCTCCATTGTAGGTGATGTGGGCGACAAACTCCAGCCCCTGCCCGGGTCTCTGGCGCACCCAGAACACGTCGTGATTGGCCAGAGTGAACCCAGAGCCGATGCAGAGCAACGTCAGGGACCCCCCAGGGGGCTGGAGGTGCCCCCCGCACTCCAGCAGGGTCACGGCCGCCCGGAGCCCTGCGGGACAAAGGGGAGATGGGGATGGGGCGATGCAAAAGCCAGGTGGAGCTGTCGAATTAATTAATGTGTGGATTGGGGCTAATTGCAGGGTTTAAGGAACTTTACAATAATGGAAACCTCTGTAGAATATTTTAGTCCAAAGGGAATTTGGGGCAAAACTGGGGAAGGGTTGGGGATTGGGGAGTGGCCGTGACCCTGCTGGAGTGCGGGGGGGACCTCCAGCCCCCCGGGGGGTCCCTGCACCTCCTCTGCCGAGGGTCCAGGTTCGATTTTGGGAGTTTTTCCATGGAATGTGTGCGACAGAGACCCGGGCAGGGGCTGGAGTTGATCGCAGCGATCTGGAGCAATGGTGCCATCTACTACGCGGCGTCGGTCAAGGGCCCGTTCACGATCTCCAGGGACAACGGGCAGAGCTCGGTGACGCTGACCATGAAAAACCTAAAGGACCAGGACTCCGGATTCTATCTCTGTGCCAAGGATGCTGATGGTTACGGTGCTGCTCCTAATGCTGGTTGGGGATGGGGCCATGGTCGGCAATCTCAGTATAACAAGCAGCATAAGCGCCACCAGTACCAGGACATTTCCCACAGAAACAGGATCCGGAGGGACCAAGAGGTGAGATTTGGGGCCAGAGCAGGGCAGGGTTGGGACGCAGGTCAGGAGTGGAGTCTGGGGTTGGAGGGAATGATCGGGGGCACAGGGACAGGAACAGGGGTAAGGACACCACCACCAACATCAGCATCAGAAGGAGCACAACAACTGTAAGCACCCTTGGTGCAGAAATAGGATCCGGAATCCTCGTCCTTGAGGTTGTTCATGGTCAGCGTCACCGAGCTCTGCCCGTTGTCCCTGGAGATCCTGAAACGACCCTTGACCGATGGCGCATAGCCAATGTTGCCACTGTTGTTGCTGATCCCTGCCATGAATTTCAGCCCCTTCCCTAGTCTTTGACGCATCCAGCCCATGTTGAAATTCCCGAAATCAAACCCGGACCTTCGGCACAGCAACATCAGGGACCCCCCGGGGGGGTTGGAGGTCCCCCCCCGCACTCCAGCAGGGTCACGGCCTCCCGGAGCCCTGTGGCACAAAGGGGAGATGGGGATGAGAAACCTGATTGGCTCTGGGCCTTCAGTGGGTGTGGCCAGCTGGAAAAAGGGATGAGACCCACCTGGGAGGGTGACCAGGAGCAGGAGGAGAAGAACAAATTGTCACAACCTGGGGCCAATTATTGGGATTTTGGCGTCAAGAGTTGAGCTTAGGCCATCCCCATCTCCCCTTTGTCCCGCAGGGCTCCGGGCGGCCGTGACCCTGCTGGAGTGCGGGGGGGACCTCCAGCCCCTCGGGGGGTCCCTGCGCCTCCTCTGCCGAGGGTTCGGGTACAGTTTTGGCAGTTTTGCCATGCACTGGTTCTGATAGAGACCCAGGCAGGGGCTGGAATGGGTCGCGGGGATGAGGAACGATCCAGCACCGGGTACACGGATTCAGTCCAGGGCCAGTTCAGGATCTCCAGGGACAACCGGGAGAGCTCGGTGACGCTGACCACGAACAACCTCAAGGACGAGGATTCCGGATCCTATTTCTGTGCCAAACGTGCTTATGCTGATAATTGGGGCCCTCCTGCTATTGGTAAATGCACCATTGGTGGATCCATTCCCATCTCAGTGTCCCCACCTGTCCCCAAAGACGAAGACCCTTCCCCCACACCCAAGTCCCAGGTCTTCCCCCTTTTTCCCAGATCTGCCCCCTTTGCCCCAATGGCGACCAAAGACCCCAAACCCCCAACTGGTTCTGCCACAAACCTGCCTGCTTTGGCCCCAAAACTCACCCGATTCTGCCCCAAATCCCCACTCTGGGCTCCCAGACGCAGCCGCTGGCCCAAACCTCACCCGCTGTCCCCAAATCTCGACCTCTTGGGCACTTTTTGGGCATGAGGGTGAGATTTGGGGCCAAGAATTGAGTTTGGGGCCAGACCCAGGGGAGGGTTTGGGGCCAATGGGCAACGTTGGGGGCAAAGGGGGCGGGGTTGGGACAAAGGGTCTGGGGTGGGTCAGGGGGGTTTGGGGAAGGGTCTGGGGACAGCTGGGGACAGGGACGGGGCTGAAACCGCAAACACCCACCCAACCACCGGGAGTGAAACCAATGGCATGGGCGGCATTCCAGCCACCATAGGAATCCTTGGCACAGAAATAGGATCCGGAATCCTTGTCCTTGAGGCTGTTCATGGCCAGCATCACCAAGCTCTGCCCGGTTTCCCTGGAGATCCTGAACCGGCCCTGGACTGAATCTCCATAGTGGGTGGTGCCAGCAGTGCTGATCTGTGCTACGACCTCCAGCTCCTGCCCGGGTCTCTGGCGGACCCAGCCCATCCCAAAACTGCCGAAATCGAACCCGGACCCTCGGCAGAGGAGGTGCAGGGACCCCCCGGGGGGCTGGAGGTCCCCTCCACACTCCAGCAGGGTCACGGCCGCCTGGAGCCCTGCGGGAAAAAGGGGAGATGGGGATGGGCCAAAGCTCAAACCTTGAACCAAATCCTGACTCTGGGCCCCAAATTGGGACCCTTGGAGTTCATCATCCTCCTCCCAGCTGGGTCCCGACCCTTTTCCAAACTGGCCACACCCACTTTGAGGCCTTCGACCAATCAGGTTTCCCATCCCCATCTCCCCTTTGTCCCGCAGGGCTCCGGGCGGCCGTGACCGTGCTGGAGTGCGGGGGGGACCTCCAGCCCCCCGGGGGTCCCTGACGTTGCTGTGCCACGCCTCTGGGTTTGATTTTTGCAGTTTTGGAATGTTCTGGATCCGACAGAAATCTGGGAAGACCCGGGAATACATCGCCAGTATCGACAGCAGTGGTGGTTACACCGCCTACGCGCCATCGGTGCAGGGCTGGTTCAGGATCTCCAGGGGCAACGGGCAGAGGTCGGTGATGCTGACCATGAGCAACCTCAAGGACGAGGATTCCACAGTTTATTTCTGTGCCAAACGTAGCAGTAATGGTTATGGTTGTGCTGGTCCCGCTCATATTGACAAGTCCTGCCGTGGCCCCAGCCCCATTGCAGTCCCAAGTGCCCACAAATTCCAGAAATCCTGCCCCGACTCCCAGCTCTGTTTCTGAAATCTTCACCAGTTGCTTCCAAACTCCGCCCCTTTTGCCCCAACTCCTGAATTTCTCCCAGTTTTTCCCAATTCACCCAAATCACCACCAGTTCCCTGGGCCCTGATTGGAGCAGGCCTGAACTGGAGGCCAGGTGTGAAGGTTTGGGGTCAATGGTTGAGTTTTGGGGCAGGAGCGGGGCATGGTTTGGGGTCAGTGCTGACCATTGGGGCAAATAGGGGAGATTTGAGACGAAGGGTCAAGGACTGAGGTTTGCGGGGGAAGAGTCTGGGTCTGGGGACAGGTGGGACTTGGAGGTTGGTGTGGATCCACAACTGGTGTCTTCATCAGAAGCAGCAGCACTCCAATCATTATCATAGCCAGATTTGGAGCAGAAATAGGATCCGGAATCCTCGTCCTTGAGGTTGTTCATGGTCAACGTCACCGAGCTCTGCCCGTTGTCCCTGGAGATCGTGAACCGGCCCTGCACCGATGGCGCATACGCGGTGTAGGAACCACTGCTCCAGATCGCTGCAACGTATTCCAGCCCCTGCCCGGGTTTCTGACGCATCCAGAGCATGGAGAAACTCCCGAAACTGAACTCGGACCCCCGGCAGAGGAGGCGCAGGGACCCCCCTGGGGGCTGTAGGTCCCCCCCGCACTCCAGCAGGGCCACGGCCGTCCGGAGCCCTGCGGGACAAAGGGGAGATGGGGATGGGGCGATGCAAAGGTTCAGCAGAGCTGTCCAATTAATTAATGGATGGATTTGCTCTAATTGCAGGGTTTAGAGAACTTTTCCATACAGGAAATTTCTGTTGGACATTTGAGGCCAGACAAAGGAATTTGGGAGAAAACCAGTGAAGGTTTAAGAATGCGGGAGCGGCCGTGACCCTGCTGGAGTGCAGGGGGGACCTCCAGCCCCCCGGGGGGTCCCTGCGCCTCCTCTTCCAAGGGTCCGGTTTCGACTTTGGGAGTTTTGGAATGTTCTGGATCCGCCAGAGACACGGGAAGGGGCTGCAATGGGTCGCAGGGATCTACAGCACTGGTGGTTACACCGAGTACGCGCTGTCGGTCAAGGGCTGGTTCAGGATCTCCAGGGACAACGGGCAGAGCTCGGTGACGCTGACCATGAACAACCTCAAGAACCAGGATTCCGGATCCTATTTCTGCGCCAAGGTTGCTGGTGCCAGTTGGGGTAATGATGTCTCTGCTCTTGGCCTCAACCCCTTGACTGGGTCCCCTCCTGTCCCCAGTTCCCAGACCCTTCCCCCAAATCTCAGCCCTTCACCCCATTCTTGACCCTTTGTCCCAGATTACCCCCATTTCCAACACCACCAACCATGAAGCAAAAACCCTCAAACGTGTTCTGCCTCAAATCCAACAAAGTTGGCAAAAATACTCGCCCAATTCTTCCCGAAGTCCCCACTTTGTGCTCCCAGCCACAGCCACTCACATGAGTTGTGATCCTTTGTCCGCAAATCGGGACCCTTGGCCTCAAACCCCGACCTTCAGAGCAAAGTTTTGGGGAACAAAGAGGAGATTTGGGGTGAGGAGTTGTGGTTTGGGGTCAGCGGGTGAGAACTGGGGACGAGGCAGAGCAAGCTTGGGATAATTGGTCAAGGGCTGGGTGTGGGCTGGGGGTTTGGGGGAAGGGTCTGGTCAACGTGGATGGGGGAACATGGGGATGGACGTGGCACTGTCACTACCAGAAGGATTACCAGCATCAGCATCCCTGGCACAGAAATAGGATCTGGAATCCTCGCCCTTGATGTTGTTCATGGTCAGCATCACCGAGCTCTGCCCATTGTCCCTGGAGATCGTGAACCGGCCCTGGACTGATGGCGCGTACCAGGTGCTGCCACCATTGCTGTTGATCCCTGC